ACGCGCCCTTGGCCGGCATCAAACCCAGGCCTCTCTGGTTTGCGGGCATTGCTCTCACCACTGGGCGACACCAGCCAGGGCTCGCTTCTGCCATTTAAAACGGCATTTCCATCCCCCCTTTTTTCTCATTTGTCCAACCCTGTCTTACGCACCCCGACGGGGTCTGACTCTCTCTGCATGCAGATGCCCACGGGAATTCCCCAAGCCCGTGTCGTCAAACCACTTTGATTTTTCTCTGCTCATTTGTCTCTGCCGACGGGATTCTTCCCTCAACCTGAAAGAATTTGGAAGCTGGAACGGAAAGCATGATTTCTTTAGCCTGCAGGTGTCGTCCTGAAACGGCCCTTTCTGTGTTCTGCTACCAAATTCAGGGGGTTCCTCTCCACCTTATGGTCTTTTTGTTCACAAAGTAGGAATGAGAATGCACGCCCTGCCTCTTCCTCGTCTCTGAAATGATGCCCTTTCTTGCTAACGAAATGAAACCTTGGAAAAGACTTTATTTGGTCGGCTTTTTCCAGCCACCGGCTCCTTTTTCCATTCCTGTGGGCGTCACCTAGAAGTCCTACTTTCTCGGAAATTACATTTCTTTGGCTGCTTCTGAATCATCCGAGATGCCCTGAACTGGCAGCGGGGAGGAGGATTTGAACAACTGTTCGATGCTGCTCCGAACTCACCCCACACTAAAGCCCAGTGGGTAACAGCCATCCCCTTGCTATTTCTTGTAACGATCCATGAAGCGCATGTAGGGAATTATGATTCTGCTCGGATATCAAGTGGTACGTCAGGATGCACCGTTTCTGATTGGTTTTTCCTCCACCCTTGGCCGAAAGGCGAACCCAGCTTACGCCAGTGGCTGCCGGACAAACACCTAATATGAAAGGTGTGGTCAGTTGAACGGTGATGCCTAAAAGATACATCCCTGTCCTAACCCTTGAATTCTCCAAAGTGCCCTTATTTAGAAATGCTATTTTTGCAAATATGATTAAGTGAAGGGTTTTGAAATGAGGACACCCTGGATTGGGGTGGCCTTGCGTCTCACCTCCCAATATCCCCCCGCCCCCCATTCAGGCCCTGGAACAATAAGGTCTCAAGAAAGACAAAACAATACATCTTTGCTCCACGTTCAGCCCAGCCCCTCGATTATTCTAGCTGCCCAAGGCATGCCTACCTCTGGCAGAATGGATGAGTCAATTAAATCCCAAATACTTGTGGTGACCCATGTATTACTGCCTGGAAAAAATCCCGACAATAAATTATTCACTCTAATTATTCCCTCTCTGTGTGTCTGATGTTCTGTAGCTTTTGTCTTCAGCTCTTTCTTCCAGAAGATTATCATCCCACAGAAGTCACTAGCATGAGGCTTATCTGCAAAATCATTGCCCTTCAAGATACACAAGGCAGGTGGGGTGAATCTCTTGATCCAAGGGAGAGGTTGCGATTCATTGCAAAGGGTGTCGGTCCCTTGCCATTTTTTTTTTAAGGTTTTTAAAATTTCAACATACGATATGTTCAGAAAAATAAAAGAAATGTGGACATTCAGAAAGTTGTGTTTGTGAGGGGTTGTGGGTCAGCTGGGCGGGAAGCTATGTTAGTGTGACCCCTAGTGGTTACATCGCTCTCATGATTAAAAACGTCGCATGTTCAGCAAGGCCTAGATTATTCCGTGTTACGGGGGGGGGACCACAGCAAGAATCTTTTTATATAAAGTCTTTTTGTTGAGCAGTTTTGGCTTTACAGCTATACTGTGAGAAAGGTAAAGATATTTCTCGTGTACCCCCTGCTCCCACACATGCTTAACCATCCCCAATATCAACCTAGAAAATAACTTTAAGTCACTACATGTGTAGACAGAATTGTATAGCTTATCTCTTTGCCTGAGTCAACGGTTAATTAATGAGCCAGTTTGGGGTGCTTGGACAAACGGTTGAGGTCTAGGTTGTTCAATAGAAAATGTGTAGGGTTACCTAGTTTATTAGGCATTGTTTTTCAGTGCTTTAGAGATATTTCATTTTGAAAATATTTTTTAATTGATTGTTTTGAGAGAGAGGAAGGGAGAGGGAGAGAGAGAGAAACATCAATCAGAGGCCTCCTGTACGCCCCCTACTGGGGATCAAGTCTGAAACCCGGGTAAGTGTCCTGACCGGGAATCAAACCGGTGACCTTCCCATACACAAAGCAACAGTCAATCCATCCACACCGGCCAGCGCTGCATTTAAAAAAAAAAAAACAAAAAAACCATAAATTGAAGGCAAGTCTCTACTCTAGCAGAAAATTATGACTCCTTGGAGGCTCGGGTAATGGTTAGTAAGTTTCACCAATGAATGACATTGCAATCAACGTACGTACATTGTTTTTACATGTGATCATCCGCCACACCGTGCAAACATAACTTTTATATGCATTGGAAAACCAAATCATTTGTGTGACTCGTTTTATGATGATATTCACCTGATTGTCCTGTTCGGGACCTGAAGACACAGTGTCCTGAGATGTGCATGTACCTGAATTTTAATTTTAAGCTATTTTTTTCAAAACAGCTAACAAAGGAGCCAATCTTTGTCGAGTGTCTGTAGGGAGTGCCCATAAAGCGTTTTTGTTGGTATTATGTCTGATGGGCCCTGGCTAGTTGGAGCAATTGGAGCATCAGCCTGTGCACCAGAGAGACCCGGGTTCGGTTCCCACTAAGGGCACGTACCTAGGTTGCAGTTTGTCCCCAGCCCGGGTTGGGGTCGTGTGGGTGGCGACCACTTGATGTGTTTCTGTCACATCGATGTTTCTCTCTCTCTCTTCCTCCCTCTCTGCCTCCCGCTCTATCTGAAAATAAATGCAAAAAATGTCCTTGGGTGAGTCCAAAATAAAAAATAAAAAAAGAAAGATACTTAAAGAATCTCCTGATGTATGCACGGCTATACCGTGGCATTTTTCACGTGGAACAATTGCGGAATAGAAACCTTTGGCACATGCCCGGGGACCCATAACTAGCAGAAGCCCTGTTGCTATTGAATTCAGCCTGTCAAATATTGTGGAGCGCTTATTTTTATCTCTGTAGATACCACTGTGCAAAAAAGAAAGGATTTCTTTCACCGGGTAGGGCTTGCTTGCTGGGTCAGCCACCCGTAACGGAAGTGACTTAAAAGGAATGAGAAGTCTTAGGTGTTAACGTCCAGGGCTTTATACTCAGTGGGTCATCTTTGGGATTAATGGTCATTAAGCCCTATAATATCTCTGCAATTCCTCTTCTTCATCAGTATAATAAGGGCCTTGAATGAGAATCTTGGAAGATGCTTCTCAGGAGAGCATTCTAAGATTTTGTCCCAGAACATCCTAAATGCAAAGGGAACCTGTGTGACTGGACAGGGACATCTTGGAGACTTAGAACGAGGAGCAGCAGAGAAATGACTCCACCTTTGTAGGTCATCCTTCTGTGGTCAATAAGGTGCATGGTGGTTACCCGGCTTCTCTCCGGGGCAAACACAAACAAAAAAGAGATTTGGTGGGCTTCCAAAAGTAACACGACCCTGGGTTTGACTTTAGGTCTTCGTATTAACTCTTAGTCAAGACAATAAAATAATAAGATTTTGTGGAAGGGGGATCAAACATGTAATTGTATTTCTCCTCATGCAACACCTCCAAAAGGTATTGTGCATGGGGATTAGCAACTGGCTTGGCCAAGGGTGCAGACATTGTATCTGTTATAGAGGGGTCGAGTTGATTGAACCATGTCCCCCTAAAAGGTAGGTTGATGTCCTAAACCCCGGCGCCTGGGAATGAAACCTTCTTTGGAAAAGGGGTCTTTTCAGGTGTGATCGAGTAAAGATGAGGTTTTCCTCGATTACGAAGGGCTCAAACCAATGGACAGATGTCCTTACAGAGAAAGGAAAATCTGGGAGCAGGTGTATAGAAATAAAAGAAACTCATGTGCAGACAAAGGCAGAGATGAACGTGATAAACCCACAAGCCCTACTGATGATTTATTATACAATTAAACACATAAAACCTATATAACTTTATCAACTAATGTCACTCTAATACCGTCAATAAATAGAAAAAGAAAAGAAATGGATTTAGCCTTTATTTTGGAAACATACATAAATTCTTTGGTTGGCTGAATGGCTCTTTGAGACTCTGCATGGTCCCTGACTTACGGTTATTGGACTTAACAACTGATTGCCTTGATGGTGATGCGAAAAGGACCTTTGTTCAGTCACAATTGTTCTTTTAATTTTAGGTTTTGATATTTGCCTGCGATAGTGGTTTGCAGGACCCTATGGTCTTGTCATTGTCCACATTCATTCAGTGGTGACTTCCCGTCAGCCCCACAGACATGAAGTCAGCAACTAACACTCCCAATAAGCTGGGTTGACCTCATTTTGCAATATTGTGTTTTGTGATATCCCGTCCCATCATGTCCATAAAGTGCTGTCTGCATCTCCTGCGTCTGCTGAGAAGAGGAGGAAGAGAATTACACTTGACATGAACCTCAAGAAAATTGCCCAACTGCAGGATAATGTACGTGTCCTGAGCATGTTTAAGGCAGGCCGGGCCAAGTTATGATGTTTGGTAGATCAGATGTATTAAACGCATATTCAACTTATGAGATTGTCCATGACACTAGGTTTACTGAGATGGAACCCCATTGTAAGACAGAAGCATCTGCAGAAATGTTTAATGAGTTGCCATCTAAATGACAGGTGTTTTGTCTCCAACCACAGACTTTCATGCACACAGGTTTGCTCTGTGCATCAAGAGTTTGCTTTGAGGAGAAAGAGAGAAAATGAGAAAAATGGGGAAGCAGGTGTGTTTCCCAGCACAAACAGCCAGGTTTAAAAACTTGGAAATTAGATAAACATTAGCACTGACAATCCCCCAAGAAGTGAATGGACAGTATTACAACCGATATTTAAAAACCTGGGGTTTTAGAGGAATTTTTTGGTGGTCAAATTTATACCTTGTTCCTTTGACGGTGCCAATGTTGGCGGCCCTTGGCTGTTGGCTCTCAGTCAATCGCTGCTTCATAGTATGTTCCCTTCTCCCTCCTCCTTGTCACACAGACAGAATGGGAACACCCCACAGCAGGACTTCAGTGACACACGTTCATGATTCAGTTCTGGACCAAGCTGCAGCTCAACTGGGGTGATGGATTTCTTGTGCTCCATCAGGGCATCAGCCACCGTGCTGATCACCAAGTCATAGAGCGGCTCTGTGTCACTTGTCAGCGGGGTGGACTCGGAAGGGTCTCGGGAGAGATCGAACAGCAAGGGAGGGTCATGGTAGGTGACATTTTCCCCTGCACATTGACAAAGTAGGGTCTCATAGCAGGCCTGAGCTCCTGGAGGCTGGAATATGGGTGTCACATAATGAACCTTCCACACTGCTTCACCTGGGGAAGAAGAGACACATCAGAGAATCCAGACTAGGTGTCCATTGATTTTGTCTTCTTCTGCCTTCTCAAGCAATTTTGGGTCTTTCTCTTTGTCCATGTGTTAACTTATATATCAGTCAATCTTCAGAACATTATCAGAACATCACAAGGCCCTAATAAAATGATACACACTACCAAATTGATATTATATTTCTCCTTAATTGAATTTATTTGGGTGGTCTTGTTTGATAAAATTATACAGGTTTCAGGAGTATAATTCTATAAAATATCATTTATATATTGTATTGTGTGTTCACCAATCCAAGTCAAGACTCCATCACCATTTATCCCCTTTTACCAACTTCTACCTCCTCCCACCCCACTTCCCTCTGCCAACCACCATGCTGTTGTCTGTGTCCATGAGATATATACTTTTGTATTCTGTTTAATCTCTTCATATTTCTCCCCATCCCCCAAACTCTACCCTCTCTGATGGCTGTCAATCTGTTCTCAGTATCCATGACTCTGTCTCCACTTACACTGGTGAGCAGCCCACTTGATCTTCAGTAGATGAGTGGATCAAAAAGCCGAGGTACATTTACATAATGGAATACTAGGCAAACATGAAAATAAACCTTACCTTTGGCTACAACATGGAAAAACATGGAGAGTATCATGCTAAGTGAAATAAGGCAGTCAGAGAAAAACAAATATCGTATGATTTCACGTATATGTGGACTGTAATGAACAAAATAAACTAATAAGGTGTTTCTCAAAACTGATATTTTGAAAAGTCATGTCTCTGACTTCCTCAAGTAGAGCACTCTGAGAAACTTTCCAAAGAATGTATGTTAATTGCCAAGCCTACACCAGGAGGACTGGGCGAGGGGATTTAAAAGAAGAAAGCAGGGAGAGTCTACAGAATGGACCATACTTTAGCCATCTTCAGGGTGCAGGGCAGGTATACTTACTGTTCTTTGGGTGCCATCGCGCGGCGTGGAGAAACTTAGTACAGTAGTGAAACAGAAACTCATGCTCAGAATGTTGTACCTTCCCCTGAAGCAAGGGCATGAGGTTTCGGCCATCAATCACCCTGGAGACACACACAAAGAAGGTCAGTCATGGGATCTGAGCCACCAGGCTGCCTGAAGGAGGCTCGTGTGTTCCATGAAATTCCCTGGGCCCAGAGACCAGTGTCTGAGAATGTAGGAGCCTCCATGCATGCTCTCAGGGAGAGAAACACAACTAAGCTTCCACAGTGAAACAGCAGGTGTGAACACGTACTCCATCGAATGAGCATTGTAGTTGAGGCCACAAATGCTCAACAGTTCAATCAAATTTTCATTCCCAATAATAACTACCCTGAGTAAGGGAAGTAAGGGATTGAACAGAATCGGTACAAAACTATACATTTTATCTTCTGACCCAAAATGTATCTTATACCTTATATTAGAAAACGATCGTGATAAAACCTACGTCATAGTAGAAAATAGAATAATAAGTCACCCTTAAAATCTCAGACAATTATTTTTATGACTGTGATTGGTTTAGTAACTTAAAAATTCCATTAGCAATAACACTATTATTTTTTTTTAATGAAACTTTTAGCTGAAATCGATAAATACTTTTCTCAGTAGAGATCTCTAGTCAGTTTTTATTTTATAAGAACCATCCATAAATCCTACTTTTGGCTGAAACAAATGATTAGGAATGTTGAAAAGGTCTCATTTTTGTTTTAATTAGCTTTTAGATCCAACTTTTCCTCAAAATTAGATCATCTCTATTAAATAAGAAAGAAACGTTAAAATAACTTTTTGAGCTTAAAAAAGATACGAAAGTCAGTTCAATCTATCAAATATCCTTATAAAACTGTTATCAATGCAGAATCAAAAAATTGGATGCAAAACAACCTAGGTCAATAGTTACGAGGGAGTGGAACACTGCAATAGAATGAAATTTAAACTATTTGTGATAGAGTTCAAAATATCCATCGAATGTCCTATCACCATCTCAGCCTTCTGGACCTTGAACACCAGATATTGGAAACTTATTTTTTATTTTACGTGGATGAGTCGATGAATGCACTCATAGTCTCTTCTCTAAGACTTCCTGTCTCTATCTTCTTTCCATTTGAGGTACAACGTGTCTAAGATGGGCCACAGAGCTGTAAAACTGATGCCTAGTGTATGAATAACGCTCAATAGACACAGCCATATACAAAGGTGAAAATTACCAGGAGAGTGGGGGAAAAGTATACCTGATAAAATAGAGTTTATCTCCTTGATCTGAATCTTTCAAAAGAAAAATAAAAGAAGCTCCATTCACAGATTATATGACGTCACCTGTCCTCAGGAACAATCCCTCCTGACAAAGCTGCTACAGTGGGTAGGATATCCATCAAGCTTGTAGGTTCCTCAATCACTTTGCCAGCTGGCAATTTTCCGGGCCATCGGAAAAGTCCAGGCACACGGATCCCACCTTCCCAGCCTGACATGCCTTTCCCGCCTGCAAGGCAAAGCAATAATGCTTCAATTAATACAGTCACTGTGATGAGAGTGTTTAAATGTAATTTAACATCAATAGTGTCCGTGCCTGCTCAGTGCCCACCATGTGCAGATACCTGATGGGGTCAGCAGTACATGTCTACCACACCATGTTTTCTCATGCAGCTCATAGGGTTTTGCTCAAAGGTACATTCTCAGTGAAGACATTATTTAAAATAATGATTTTAAATCACCTCATGATTTTTCTTTTTTATTTCCCCCCATCATTCTGTGTTCTACCTTCCTCTCGCAATTACTACCTTCTAAACTATGAGGTCATTTACCAATTCATTTTTTTTTTCTGGTGCGCCTCTTTGGATGAGACTCTAAATTCCATGACGGTGGAAATGAATATGGGATTTTTGCATTCTGAGTCCAGCGTGATGAAAGACTTTGAAAGGAATAGTATAGGTAGGTGTTAATTTATTGTCCAAACTAGAAAATTTAGTGAGACAAAAAGTAGGAGGTGATAAATGGACACCAGGATTGTTCACATACAATAGAGTATTCTTGAGCCAACTAGGAGGAATGGCCATCCTACAGTGTTAATGTATTTTTGTTACTTCATTGGTAGATGGGAAGCTAATAGATTCTATGGAAGGTAACCTTACAGGGTTATTTGATCATAAATTCCTAACTGAGCTGGTCATGATGGGTTGTCAACCAAACCCAGTATTTTGTATAGTGAAAGGTTTTAAGTGAGCTTTGCCTATTGTGTTTATGTATCCAGCTTAACAGCCTCTGAAATACCAAAAGTAATGCCACTTGAAGGGGGTGTGAACCCTCAAGAGAGCATCTAATCTTGCTATCTATACTGTAGCCCAATCCCCACCTTGCTTTCAATAACCTGCCTTATGCTTGCTTCTTGATTTTAAATGGATAAAAAAGTTGCAATTGCGACGTTGATCCAAACATATGTCATCAGTTTTGTTCAAATAAACCCTTATAAGAATTCTGTACAGGTTTGGACATTTCCAATGTTGACAGGTTGAATTACTTGAAACATAGTTTTAATCACAATCTACTCAGACATGGAGATATTATTAACGTTCTCATGAGAAAAACTATAAAATTTTCTTTATGAATTTGTTTGCTTCCTAAGCACACCCTTTTGTTGTGCAAGGCATATCTACAGACCTTCACCTCTTTAGGTCAGGAGATGCAAAGACAATCTCATTTATACAGAAATCATAATTTTTACCATGTGCAAAACTATACAATGTATATTTGAATGAGTAATAATTCATTTACCCCTACTGAACACTTTAGATTCTCTTTAAGTTTATAGGTTTAAATGTACTGAACAGGTTCTAGGTTGTCTTCTTATAACATCAGGATACAGTTACTAGACCACATCAAAGTGGTGGCTGATGGATATATATTCATGAACCACTTGTCACTCCATGACATGGAATTGGTAGGTGTGGACTTTGTTGTGAAACTCGAGACAAGCTTGGCCAGATCTCTAGAAAAGCACACCAATGCTTTCTTGATGTCCAAGGAGACTTGGGTTTTTGTTCTTTGTATTCTCTTTTATACCATAGTTTTTCTTATTCTATATTCTATTCATCATGTAGATGAAATCAGTGATTAGATATTCAACAGATTTAGCTACTGGCTTAAGTCATCTACTTATTCTAATGCTCTTTAAGATCATAGGATGATGAAGGAGGCAATGTCTAGAGGGTTCCTTTAAAATGTTGGTAATTTAAGGTCAATATCCTAGGAGTTCAGCCCAACACTTTATTTTATACCAAGTGTCCGATAAAATAGTCCTGTTGAGCCTGTTATGCCTCATTCATCTCATGTTTCATGCCATGGATTTGTATTACAATGAGCAAATCAGACCCCATTCACAAGGACACCCCTGGATTAATCTTCACTCCTCACCTTTGTATATCCCATTCCATCCACCAAGCTGGGTGTGGCCCAACCTTGCCTCCAAATGGCCTCCGTGGTCTGATGCAAAGAAGACCAGTGTGTGATTCCTCAGCCCCAGATCATCAATGGCAGCAAGAAGTTTGCCTGAAACAATGTAAAAAGGACCCACAACATGAATGACCTGATGATCTTTGGGCATCTAGGTTAGTCCTGATATGAGCACATTTCTCTGGTAGTCATTGCAAAAATGTTTCTCATCACAGTTGCCCCGAACCTTACTCTTCAAGAACATTGTGTGAATGGACCTGTTTCTTCACTTTCCCATTATCATCCCATGTTGAAGAAGATTGTGGAAAATTAAATGTGCAAATGGATTCCTTCCTATGCTGATACTGACATTTATACTTTCCAGCTGTATGTAATTTAGCTCTTGATCATTTCTCTTTTAAATATCTCATGTTCCTGTTGTTGATTTCTAAGTACTCTTTATTTATTTAGGAATGAAAACGATGCCATGTGGTCACTAATATTTCCTCAGGGTGCAAGGCACTAGGTGTGCTATTTATGATATTTTTTGAAATCTAAAGACTTTGTCTTTGTCGTCACTTCTGTGGTTTTTACCAGCTCTCTGTCTAGATCTAGAGAGAGAAACTTAGTATTTCATGTAACTTTCTTCTAGGTTTGCTTTTGTTTTCATTCAATGTTCTCAACCTGTATGGAAAAGTATGCAAATTGAATTAGGAAATGATTGTTTTCAAGCTGCTGTTATCAAATGACCACAAGCTGGGGGACTTAAAACAGCAGAGGTTCTTTTGTTTCTCAGAGTTGCGGAGGCCACAGGTCCTAAATCAAGGTGTTCGCATTGTTGGTTTCAGTCTCTGTCTCTTTGTCTCTGTCTCTCTGTTTCTCGGTCTCTGTCTCCCTGTCTCTCTGTCTGAGGTTGTATGGAAGAATGCTTCCTTCCCTCTTCCGAGCTCCAGAGGGTGGCTGTCCATTCTTAGCATCAATCTGATCTCTGCCTCCATTGTCACATGTGATCTTGGTGCCGTCCCATGGTTAACACCTTTCAGTAAATATAAATATATGCTAAAATAGTATATGTACATTTCTAACATCAACTGAAATCTTTACAGGTTTATATATGAAGTACATTTATATGAGTATTAAGTATTTATTGTGTATTACGCACATTATAGAAATTTATAAATGTATAGTTTGTGGGTGTGTTTCAGTAGTTGCTGGACAGGTGTTTGTAGGCTTTGCATGACCACTGTCTACTTAGTTTTAGAAATCTCTCTAGATATTGAGAATAGAAACAAGTCAAACTAACTTGACTTCTCCAAAAACGATCATTGTTGATGTAGTGGACACAGGAAATGATGGTATGTATTTCTAAGATGGTTTTGCTCATCGTTGGGTCATTCTACCTGCCCAGTAGAGCGGTCCGAGCATTCCTGTGGTCCTTACACATCTCACCCCCGAGTCCCAATTTCAACCCTGATAACCTCCTGCCGACAGGTCCAGAAAACACTCTCTTCTAGACTCTCCATCTGTGGTTTCTCCTCCTCATGGTCAACACTCATCCCCTATTACACATTCTTGAGAAACCTGCTCTGGTCATGGGAACGACTGAATTCTGTCCATGAAGGACACGTGACTCATGATGTCCTGAGCTTTTTTCCTCTGTCTGGGGCAAGACAGGTCACTTCCATTAGAAGCCTGTAGCTGAGTTTGGGAAAGTAAAAAAAGAAGCTGGAGACATGTTTCTGGAACATTCTAGACACCTAGGAAATGATAGTGGGTGAGCATCTGAGAGGCTGTCAGATGCTTCATCAAAGTCCAAGGCTGTTTTCCTCCATCTCTGCCTGTGTCTTTTAGCCCAACAAAAGCAGCCCCTGAGGTAGAGAGTAAGGGGACCTGGGTTTCAGTCTTAGTCATCTACATGCATCCAGTTACTTGAACCAACAGGTATCTTGTGGTTTAGTGTCCTCATCAGTTTAGGGGCACAATGACCATGATGGACATGGTACCTGTCTCCTAGTACGTTCATGGGGATTCATCCAGAACACCCATGAAACAGTGTGTGTCCCAAAGAAAGAACCATGTTTCAAAGGGTTTATTCAACAAAGAGATCATCATCCCAGAGCCTCCTTCTCACATAACTGGTGAGAGTTTCTGGGTGTCCTAAACTACCGAGCTCAGACGTGTTCACCACGTAGTCCTGCCACGTACCCACATAGAAGTCCATCTCCTCCACGTTATCCCCATATAAGCCGTGCTTGCTGGTGCCAATGAAGTCCTTTGTCGTGGGGCAAGGCGAGTGGACATGAAGAAAGGAGTAGAAGAGGAGGAAGGGTCCTTCACGGTGCCTGAGAAGACATCAGTCAGGTTGCTCTTGACTTCTTCTGGGAATACGAACCACATTGTTCCCTGACACACGGACACGGTTCCCTTTATTTCTCTCCATGACCCATGGACACACACACAAATGGCAGCCCCTTTGAGACAGACTTCTGGCCAGAGTTAATTCTAGGATCCTCCAGCATCTGGACTATGACCCTAATTTTGGGGTGATACCACCTGTCAAGTGCCAGCACATGGGTAGGTCATACTGCACTCAGAGGTCATGCAGACTTATAACTCAAATCGAGCTCTGCTGGGAGCACTTTCCCAAGGATCACAAAGGCTCAGACTAGAGACACACCCCAAGACACCCAAGAGAAGGTGTTGTTGGTGTGGATACTTAGAAACACCTACACTTTTGCAATTTGAGAGCACGCATGAACAGAAACATTTCAGCAACATGTGCATACACTTTTAATGCCCTTGTGAGTACACAGGAAGGAGGTTGAGCCCCACTTCAAGTCCTGACAATCTTTCCACAGGGTGGATAAAGTCTGAGCTAAGCAGGGCAGCATACAACAGCATCCCAGTGTTGGGGGATGTTCTGCTCTGTCAGATGAGGTACCAAAGTGTAAAGAATGAATGAAAAATAAACTTTAAAATAAAGTGCACCCTGGTTTACTAGGTTGAATGGTGTCCTTCCAAAACCACCCACATAGAAACTCAGAATGAGATATTACCTGAATGTGGGTCTTTCAAGCTAGAATTACTTATTAGAGGTTGTACTGGGGCAGGGTGGGCTGAAAATCAACTGGTGTCCTTATAAGAAGAGGGTTGTTTCAAGGTACTCAGACACACACTGATTTTTTAAAAATAAAACTCATTCTCTGATTGTTTCCTGAATTAAAAAATATTACCTTTACCTTTCAAAAAACGAAATCGCCTCCTTCACCATGATGGACCCTGCTCTTGCTGCCTTCATGGGCTGCTCTGTAATTTTGTGCTCACGCATGAGGATGCAATCCCAGTACAGAGAAGATGTGTAACTGGATAACCAAGAGTAGCTCAGGAGACAAATAAGAAGAACCATGAAGAGGATGAGGGACCAGGGAACCCAGATCAAGCGCCTCAGTTTCCCTACAGTGAGGGTGAGCGCAGCCACGAGGACCAGCTGCACAATGAGCCAGACTTTGTGGTTGACGGCTAATTCCGTGTCCCGTGAAGGATCCGGCCAGCAAGGCTCAAAGAGAGTGAATGGCATGCCGTAGAAGTAATCAAACCCATACTTAGACGGATGGTGGCAGTGGTCATTTCTGAATCGGCAGTTTAAGCCCTGATGCCATTTCCCTGAAATTAAACACACACAAATAACACATCACACACTCACATATCACCAAGACCATGTGACCAGTTTGCATTGGAACCAACAAGCAGATGCACTGACATGGAGTGGCTAATATTTTTTTTTTTCTTAAAAATCAAAGATGAACATAGACTCCCTGTCTTCTGTCCTTTGGTTGGCAGCAGTATGTCTTAAGTTCTGGTTGTTAGTGAACAAGTAGGATGAAAAATAAAGGGAGAAAAAACAATTAATTGTGTGTTTCTAGCAGGGATGTGAGCTGGGCATTTTCTCATTTACAGAAAGAAAAAGTCAGCCACAAATATAGGTGATGATGGAGCCAAGATGGAGTACAGATGAAGGATAGGTAGGTATGTAGACATTAGGCAGTGAGAGGGAGATGATAGAAAGTAGATGAATGAGTGAGTGGATGAGTGAATGGATATATAGATAAATAGTTAGAGAGATGATTGATAGAAAGATGATAGACAGATAGATAGAAAGATACATACATAGATGATAGATAGCTAGATGATAGCTAGACAGATAGATAGAAAGATAGAATACATAGATGATAGATAGATAGATAGATAGATAGATAGATAGATAGATAGATAGATGATAGATAAAATAGATGATAGAGGATAGATAGATAGATGATAGGTAGACTCATAGAAAAATTACAGATACATAGATGAGTGGTGGACAGATGGATGGATGAATTTATGGGTGGATGAAAAGATTGATAGATATATAGGTATACAGATGAGCTAATAGGTAGGTAGATAAATAAATAAGTGTTGATTATAGCCAGAAAGTGTTAATTATAAGTAGAGAAAACTTAAATGATACATGATGAATAAAAATATCAATACTGAATGAATGGGTAGATAGATACAGTGACAGATAGATGATAGATATGATGAAAAGGTGAAGATGAATAAATTGGGTGTGTGGGTGAATAGATAGATAGATAGATAGATAGATAGATAGATAGATAATGGATGATAGATGATAGATAGATAGATAGATAGATAGATAGATAGATAGATAGATAGATAGATAGATAGAATGGATAAATGAATGAATGGTTGAATTATGTGTATGGGTGGAGATAGATGATGATGATGATAGATGATAGATAGATATAGATAGATAGATAGATAGATAGATAGATAGATAGATAGATAAATAGATAGGATGGATAAATGAATGGATGGTTGAATTATGTGTATGGGTGGAGATAGATGATGATGATGATAGATAGATGATAGATAGATAGATAGATAGATAGATAGATAGATAGATAGATAAATAGATAGGATGGATAAATGAATGAATGGTTGAATTATGTGTATGGGTGGAGATAGATGATGATGATGATAGATAGATGATAGATAGATAGATAGATAGATAGATAGATAGATAGATAGATAGATAATGGATGATAGATAATAGATACATAGATACATAGATACATAGATACATAGATACATAGATACATAGATGATGGATGATAGATGATGATGATAGATACATAGATAGATAGATAGATAGATAGATAGATAGATAGATAGATAATGGATGATAGATGATAGATAGATAGATAGATAGATAGATAGATAGATAGATAGATAGATGATAGATATGATAGATAAATGAATGGATGGTTGAATTATGTGTATGGGTGGAGATAGATGATGATGATGATAGATAGATGATAGATAGATAGATAGATAGATAGATAGATAGATAGATAGATAGATAATGGATGATAGATGATAGATAGATAGATAGATAGATAGATAGATAGATAGATAGATAGATAGATAATGGATGATAGATGATAGATAGATAGATAGATAGATAGATAGATGATAGATAGATGATAGATAGATAGATAGATAGATAGATAGATAGATAGATAGATGATGGATAGAGATCAATATTGGAGGATGAACTAAGCATTAGGAATAGATGAATGGATATTTGACTGGAAATCCAAGGGTCTCCTACTAGTTCATTGATAAGGGATTGATTCAGTAAAACTTACCACACCTTGAAGACAACCAAATATCCACATGAATCCTACTAGCATTCAACTGCGAGAATATGATCATGTGTATCTACAGTGCGTTGATAGTTACCTGCACACAATTAGGGCCACATCAAGAATGCATGGACTGACCTCACCGAGCACCTGAGGGGATCCGTAGATGAGAGGTTAAGGCTCCCAGAGGAGGTTTCTTCTGTTCTAAAACGACACTAAGATGTTCTTCTTTCCCCAGGTCAAATCAGGGACAAAAGTAAAGGGACATAAAGTAGCATGGCGCTCTCATGACACACAAACTCGATCCGCTCAAATAGGGGCAGCAGCTTAACTGCCAAAGGCCGTCATTAGTTTATTCCGTCACCGTTGGCATCAGGATGAGGAAATCCACGTGGCTCATTTCAATGAGATAAAGAGGTGAGCGAGAGAACAGGTGAGGCCCAGGGATCCTGCCCAGTTTGATTTTGTTGAGCAACCATTGCTTACAACACCTCCTGTGTCTCTCAGCAAAGAATCAAGTTCTTTGTCTCTGAAAATAACCAGATGGTTTATCCTTGGACTTCCCTTTCACCTGTAAATGTTAATGTTTCTATCAGTGTGTGAGGCTGTCTCCCGGGAATGAAATGAGCCAGACACCATGATCATTGCCACAAAGACACACCCCGGTTTTTTCCTCTGAATTAACCTTCATGAGCAGCTGGAGAAAGTGAGGAGCTGAGACAGAGGAATAGTCTGGAAAGGACCACATGGAAACTTTCTGAGCAATGTACTCAGTCATTATTTTTCTTTGGACAATATGTAGAGGTTGCAGACATTTTTATGGAAGCATCCTGGCTTTCCATAAAAAGCTAGTGATGCTAACACTATGTATATGCCCTAAGGAAGACTCATTTTGTGACTTAAATTATGTCTCATAATAACGTGGAAAGAGAACACCATCATACATTTTTATCATAGGACATCTTTACACAGAGCACTTGGGCAATGACACAAGGTGGTGCAGAGACATGTGGGATGAACATCTGTAGAGACCTGGTGGTTAGGAGGGAAGGGTCTTTCGTCATCTCTAAGCTACATCTGAAAAGAATGAATGGGGTCATTTACACAAAAGTGCGTGTTTGCGCTCGCGCGCGTGTGTGTGTGTGTGTGAAGGATGCTTTGTAACAGCGAATCTCAGCTGAGCAAGCACAATGGTGACAGAGACTTCAGGAGGGTACAGAGACCAACCACTACTTACCGATAATTCCTGTGCTGTATCCTTGCCTCTTGACTAAGTCTGCAAAGGTTGTTTCATTAGTTGGGAGTCCACCAGGGACGCCAAGGGGGTTGAGGACACGTTTAATTCCATTGGAAACCATTCCTAAATGTAATGTGAAACAAAGCACACATACACACATTCAGTAGGTAATTGTTTATCAGGTGTTGAGGGAGAGAGTCCTCCAGACCTCAGAGCTTAGAAGGTGGACAGATGAGGAACCCAAAAAAGAAGCCACTGTTTAGGGGAGAAAATTATGTTCTGTAAAGACAAACTCACACTGGCCCAGAACGTAAAACCCTTTACACCCTGAGTGCCCATACATATGACACCATCAAATATACCCAAACACACCATCCACCTTCAACACACAAGTGCTGATTGAACATCTAACATGCTCCTGCCCTCACCTGGGGAATCTAAGCCTCAGAAAACATCAAAAAATGAAATCTTATGAGAATGTCAAACAATAGAATCTACTTCTGTTTGTAGGACAGGTGTATAAGCACCATTCCTGCCTGTAACCCAAATTTCAGACATCTGGGAAGAGTAGGCGCATTGGTTTTGACTCTTTTCTGACCAAAGTTGACGTCAAGTAGGTGAGGACCAGTCATCTTGAATCGAAAGTCCTGTACTTAGTGGAAAAGAGACAAAAGAAAGCCAACAAGGTTTTGAAAGAGGCAGTAATGAAAGAACACCCCAAGATAGCCAACAGATGACCCAGGCGAGCTGCTGAAACTGGGGGGACTTGGCTCAGTCTCACTGGGAGTGATGCCAGGATTTGGGGTACATTGTCTGTAGCCCCTTGAGCTCCCCAAACGTATCCATCCTGGCTTCCTTCCAAAATAGGGCCGAACCTAAAACAGTGTCAGGGTGTGGACACAAAATAGAGAAAGACGGGGCAAAGCAGGTAAAAGGAACATCATCTATATCAGATGAAATCAGGAGCGAACTTCAGGCAGGAACTCTCAGAGAACAAGCTCCCTTTGTTCCAAATTTACCCAAGAGAAATTACATTTTGTCACTGTCCCCTATACATGATACACATCTCTTTCTAAAACAACAGTTTACATAAAATGGGCAGCAAGGGGAAAAAAAAAAAGTCAAACACATGTACATATGAAAGTGTAAAAAGAGAGTAAATTATTTAATGTTCACAAAACCTGATGAGTCTTTTGAGCCCCTAAGGCCAATGCTGTCAACCTCAGGGGTACTAAAATTAATGACCCCCTGAAGAACTCACCTTTAAACACCTAACTGAATGACTCAGCTATTTGACTTCTAGATATGTCCTCAGGAGATTCAAAAGATTAGTTCACACAAAAAATGTCCAAGACAGGCCTGTTGATAGCAGAACTACACTTAAAGTGGAAAGGGAAAAGCACCCCCAGTAGTCTGTCATTGGTGAGCTGATATACACAATGTGTCCCATCTGTGCCCTCAGTGTGACCATTAAATCTGGGATGTCCTTATGGAACCTTTTCATGGTAGCCAGGTTTGGTGAATTATTCCCTTTCAAGGCAACCTCTCATTTGTGTCCTGGGGTAAATAAAGACAATGACTGTCCATGGGGCATTCACAATAAAAAGCCAGCATCTTGGCAGAGGGAGGGCAGACTGCTCTGGAACTATGTGGAGAAACTTGGGATTTGGAGGGCACTGAGAGTTTTTTGCTGAATCGCTCCCTCACAGGAGAGTAGAAATCTTACTCAAAGAGTCCCTTCCCAGAGCACCAGGGAAAAGCAACAGCCCCTTCCTCAGAAATTTAACACCACCCAGCTGGGCCAGAGAAATGCAAATTGAGGCTCATTAACAACCAGCATCTGCCCCACCCTCTGGAAATCCTCATACTCTGAACACCTGAGGGAGTTTTTTATTCAGCTGAGGCTACAACCCAATGCTTATCAACTAAGACTAATAGCCTCCAAGAAAAAACTAGTGGATGACTGAACCTTTCCTTGGCTTGAAAATCTACCCACAAAAGTAAAACTTGAGAGTGGTGTATAACGTGCGTCCTCTCACACTTATCCATATGAAGTAGAGAGAGCCACAAATAGCAGAACACCAACACCCACAGGGAAAATTTGGCAGGCTCCAAAACCCAGTGAGATAGCCAAAATGGTGAAACAAACAAACAAAAAAAACCCAAATGAAAGAACAAGAAAATTCTACTGAAGATGATATAAATGAAATGAAGTTAAGCAAGTTATCAGATGTAGAGTTCAGAGCAATGATAATGAGGAAGCTCAACAGCATAAGTAAAGAGCTCTACACTCTTTAGTCATGAGTAAAGATAGAAAAACATTGAAACCAACCAACTGAAAATGAAGAATGACATAGCAGATATAAATAACGCATTGCAAGGAATAACCAGCAGAGCAGAGGAAGATGAGGACTGAATCAGTGAATTAGAAGACAGGGTAGAAAGAATCACCCAGTCAGAAAACCAAAAAGAAAAGAAAAGAAAAAAAACAATTAAAAAACAGGACGACAGCATAAGAGAACTGTGGGACAACCAGAAATGGAACAACATTTGCATCATAGCACTTCCAGAAGACATAAATGAGCAAGGGTTAGAGAATATATTTGAAGAAATAGTGACAGAAAACGTCCCTAACTTGTTAAAGGAAAAAGGCATTCAAGTTAAAGAAGCACAGAGAGCCCCAAGTAAGAAGAACCCAAGCAGACCCACACCAAGACACATAGCAATTAAAATGTCAAAAATTAAAAATAAAGAGAGAATCCTAAAGGCAGCAAGAGATAAGTAACAGGTTACCTAGAAAGGAAACCCCATAAGGCTCTCTGCTGACTTCTCAACAGAAACACTACAGGCCAGAAGGGAGTGGCATGAGGTAATCAAGGTCATGAAAAACAAGGATCTGAATCCAGGACTACTCTATCCAGCAAGGCTATCATTCAAAATAGAAGGTCAAATAAAGGGCTTCCAAGACCAAAAAAAAAATAAAAATAAATAAAAAAGGCTAAAGGAATATATTAGCACCAAACCAGCAGAGCAAGAAATGTCAAAAGGACTGCTGTAATTAATAGTAGAAATAGGAAGAAAAATAGAACCACCATTTAAAAAAAATGGCAATAAATAAGTACATATCAATAATAACCTTGAATATAAATGGATTGAATGCTCTGATCAAAAGACACAGAGTAGCTGATTGGATAAGAAAGTATGATTCATCTACATGTTGTTTACAAAAGACCCACCTTACAATGGAAGACTCACGTAGGTTGAAATTGAAGGGATGGAAAAGAAAAAAATCTTCCAAGCAAATGGAAAGGAAAACAAAGCTGGGGTAGCAATCCTCATATCTGATAAAATAGATATCAAAATAAAGACCATACTAGAGACAAAGAAGGTCACTACATAATATTGAAAGAATCTATCCAACAGAAAGATATAACCTAGGTAAACATATATGCACCCAATAAGAAGCACCAAAATATATTAAAAATCTTCTGGAGGACTACTAAGGAGACATCAATAGCAATACAATAATAACTTCAACACTCCGCTGACATCACTGGATAGATCCTCTAGACAAAAAACTGAACAAGGAAACAGAGACTCTAAATGATGTACTAGATCAAATGGATTTAATAGACATCTATGGAGAATTACACCCCAAAATTGCAGATTTCACATTCTTCTTAAGTGCACATGGGACATTCTCAAAGACAGACCACATGTTAGGACATAACCTAAGTCTCTACAAGTTCAAGAAGATTCAAATCATATCAAGCATCTTCTCAGATCACAATGGCATGAAACTAGAAACCAATTACAGCAAAAACGCAAAGACATTTGAACACATGGATGTAAATAGCATATTAAACAATGAATGGGTTACCAAGGAGATCAAGAATGAAATTAAAAACTTCCTGGAAACCAATAAAAATGAACACACAACACAAAATCTATGAGACAAAAGCAGCAAAAGCAGTCCTGAGAGGGAAGTTCATAACACTACAGGCCTACCTCAAAAAACAAGAAAAATTTCTAATTGACTATCTAACCTCACAACTTAAAGAACTAGAAAGCAAACAAAAAGAAAATCCCAGAGCAGGAAGAAAGAAAGAAATAATAAAGATCAGAGCAGATATAAACAACATAAACACCAAAAAAAAATTTTTTTTTCAAAAGATCAATGAAACAAAGAGCTTGTTCTTTAAAAAGATAAACAAGATTGATGTATCCTTAGCTAGACTCACCAAGAAACAGAGAGAACCCAAATATACAAAATCAGAAAAGAAAGAGGAGAAGTAACAACTAACATCACAGAAACACAAAGGATCCTTAACACATATTATGAACAATTACATACCAACAAATTGGACAATCTAGGTGAAAGTGACACATTTCTAGAAACACATAGTCTCTCAAAACTGAACCAGGAACAGATAGAAAACTTGAACAGACCAATAGGACTAAGCAAATTTAAGATGTAATCAAGACTCTCCCAGAAAAGAAAAGTCCGGGCCTGGGAAGCTTCACAGAGGAGTTTTACTGAACATTCAAAGAAGAACTAACACCCATTCTCCTCAAACTATATCAAAAAATTCAAGAAGAAGGAAGACTTTCAAACTTGTTTTATGAGGCCAACATAATTCTAATTCCAAAACCAGATAAAGACACAACAAAAACGAAAAAACTACAGGCCAATATCCCTAATGAACATAGATGCCAAAATCCTTAACAACATATTAGCAAATAGAATCCAGCAATACATCAAAAAAATTATTCATGATGACCAAGTGGGATTCATCCCAGGGATGCAAGGCTGGTACAATATTTGAAAATCAATAAATGTCATACACCCCATAAAGAAAATCAAAGATAAAAACCATATGATCACATCAATAGGTGCAAAGCATTTAACAAAATCCAGCATCCATTTCTGATGCAAACACTCAGCAATGTGAGAATAGAAGGATCATATATCGACATAATAAAGGCCATATATGAAAAACCTACAGCCAACATCATACTCAATGGGCAAAAACTAAAAACATTTCCCTTAAGAACAGGAACAAGACAGGGATGCTCACTTTTGCCACTCTTATTTAACATAGTACTGGAAGTCTTAGCCACAGCAATTAGACATGAAGAAAAAATAAAAAGGATCCAAATTGGAAAAGAGGAAGTGAAACTGTCATTATTCACAGATGACATAATATTTTATATAGCTAACCCTAAAGAATCAATCAAAAATCTACTACATTCAATAAACAGATTTGGCAAGGTAGCAGGATACAAAATTAACATCAAGAAATTGACAGCATTCTTATACACCAATGGTGAACTTACAGGAAGAAAAACTAGAAGAAAATCCCATTTACTGTTTTGGTCAAAAAAAAAAAAAAATTAAGATACCTAGGAATAAACTTAATCAAAGAAGTAAAGGGCCTATTAGCAGAAAACTATAGGACATGGGAAAAAATAGAGGAAGATATAAAAAGTGGAAGCACATACCTTGTTCATGGATTGGAAGAATTAACATCATTAAAATGTCCATACTACCCAAAGCAATCTACAGATTCAATGCAATCCCCATTAAAATACCAACAATATATTTCACAGAACCAGAACAAATACTTCAAAAGTTCATATGGAACCAAAAAAGACCCCAAATAGCCACAGCAATCTTGAATAAGAAGACAAAGTAGGAGGGATCACATTACCAGATTTCAGGTTATACTACAAAGCCACTGTAATCAAAACAGCCTGGTACTGGCACAAGATCAGACATATAGATTAATGGAACAGAACAGAGAACCCAGAAATTGACCTGAGATATCATGGTCAATTAATATTTGATAATGGTGGCAAAAGCATACAATGGAGTAAAGACAGCCACTTGAATAAATGGTGTTGGAAATATTGCACAGCTATATGCAAAAAAAAAATTGAAATTAGACCACCAACTTACACTATATACAAGAATGAACTCAAAATGGATAAAAGACTTAAATGTGACTTGTGAATCCATAAAAATCCTGGAAGAAAATGTAAGAAACAAAATTTCAAACATCATACACAACAGAATTTTCAGATACAATGCCTAAGGCAAGAAAAACAAAGGCAGTAATTAATACATGGGACTGCATCAAACTAAAAACTTCCACACAGAAAAAGAAATAAGCTTCAAAATGAAAAGGCAACCCACTGTATGGGAAAGCATAACTACCAATGATACATCAGATAAGGGGTTAATTTCCAAAATATATAGAATACTCATACAACTCAACACAAGGAAGACCAAGAACCCAATTAAAAAATGGGCAGAGGAGCTGAATAGACACCTCTCCAAAAGGACATACAAATGGCCAAGAGACATGAAAAAAGTGCTCAAAGTCACTAATCAGAGAGATGCAAATCAAAACAACAATGAGGTATCACCTCACACCTGTCAGAGTGGCCGCCATCCACAAATCATCAAACAACAAGTGTGGGCGAGGGTGTGGAGAAAAGGGGACTCTAGTGCACTGTTGGTGGGAATGCAGACTGGTGCAGCCACTATGGAAAACTATATGATGTTACCTCAAAAAATTAAAAATTGAACTTCCATTTGATGCAATGATCCCACTTCTAGGAATATACCCTAAGAAGACTGAAACACTAATCAGAAAGAATATATTTACCCCCATGTTCATAGCAGCACTATTTACAATAGCTAAGATCTGGAAACAGCCCAAGTGTCCATCAGTAGACGAGTGGATAAAAAAGCTGTGGTACATCTACACAACGGAGTACTACGCAGCTGTAAGAAAGAAAGATCTCTTATCCTTTGAGATGATGTGGAGGGACCTGGAGAGCATTATACTAAGCGAAACAAGCGAAACAGGGAAAGACAAAAATCACCTGACCTCACTTATTTGTGGAATATAATGAACAAAATAAGCTGATGAACCAAATAGACCCAGAGACCTAGAAAGGAGTGTGGTTCACACTGATAGACCTCAGAGGAAGGGCGTGAAGGAATGGATGGAATAAACCAAAGAACTTAATCGCATGCCTAATCAATGAACGTGGACAACCATGCTGGGGGGTTGGGGGAGGCAGGATGGGGAGGAGGGTGTCTAGGGAGGAAAAAGAAGAAACATCTGGAACAAAATAAATTAGTATAAATTGAAAAAAAAAAAAAAAAAAGACAGTATCTCCAAGTGGAGACATCAGTTAGCCACACAAGGAGATCTGGGTCAGTGAGGAGCACAGGGAAGTGGAGGTGGATGTTAGTAACTGCACAGGAACAGGTGTGTTTGCACCTCGACCGGACAGCATGGTCAAGCCCAGGGTCCATGCCTCCTATTCTTACATGAATCACAGAGGGGCAGAGGCTTCCTGTTCACACACCTGATCGGATGGGGTACCTTCCCGTGAGAAAAGCAGACCGACTTGGGGTGCACACGGAGGCTGCGGCGATGTTCTGGTTCAGCTGCACCCCTTCTCTAGCTAAGCTGTCGATGTGAGGGGTCCTGGAAAAGGAGACAGAAGGAAAACTGAAGAAGGGGGAGTGAAGAAGAGACAGAGAGTAAGAGACAGAGAGAAAGAGACAGACAGAGAGAGAGAGAGACTTAGAGAGTGAAGAAAGGGGGAGGGAGAGAGACAGAGGGTTGGAGACAGGCACACACGCACACACACGCACACACGCGAACACACATGCACACACACGCACATGCACACACACGCACACACATGCACACACGCACACACACATGCACACACACGCACACACATGCACACACACACACGCACATGCACACACAGATTGAAGGTAAAAATCTCTGTAAACCTTGATTCCCTGAGCTCAGAGGGGGAGAAAAAATAACTACACAAGAAGCTCATTCTCTTTTTTTTGGAAGTTGTTTATTTTGCAGAATGGGTATAATATGATTCTGCAAATTATTTATATATATTTATATATACTGCAATATATATATATAATTTTTGACTGTCTCTGGCCTCATTAATTAAGGTAATGAGTCAGTAACCTCAACTATGGCCTTTTAGAGAGTTAAGAATGAATATTCGGTACATTCATGTCCTTTCTCTGCACACAGGTGACAAAAGCCCCATATGATCAAATATAAAATTAGCCCGAGATTGAAAGATAATAAAAATGTACAACCATACGGCTCATTATGATGAGCGGCTAAGCTTTGGATCAGGATGGCTCGTGTAGACAGTTTTTTATACCCCCCAGAAATCAATGAGATTTTGGCTCACGTTTGATTTTACTCTTCTTTCAGAATATCCATTGTTAATATATATTGCCTTCAACAGGTCCCCAAATTAGGGAGCATGACATGATTAATTCTGCTGAGTAAAAGTATACTCAGGGAAATAAGCCAGTCAGAGAAAGACCGATACCTTGTGACTTCTAATGAACAAAATAAACAAATAAACAAGCAGAAGAACAACAGACTCAGAGGCGGAGACCAGACTGACAGCTGTCAGAGGGGAGGGTGTTGGGGGAACGGGGTGAAAAGCTGAAGGGATTAAACAAAGGAAAACAAAACTCATGGACACAGACAACCATGTGGTGAGGACCAGAGGGAGGGGGTGGGGCAGGCAGCAGAGGGTAAAGGGGAATGAACGGTGATGGAAGAAGACTTGACTTGGGGTGCTGAGTCCCCAATACAACATCCGTGATAGTTTACAGAATTGCACCCCTGAGTCCCCTATAATTTATTAACCAACTTTATCCAGTATAGTCAATAAAAATGTAAAAATTATGTGTAAAAAGCAATGCTCATCCAAAGAGTCTACATCATTCAAGTCCCCCTACGCTCCAGGTGACTAGTGAGTGCTTTGTACATGGGAACTGACGGGCACATACTATTCCCTCAATGGATAGAAAATTAAGGCACCCAGAGGTTAGGTAAAGTGTTCAAGATCACAGAGCTATGCGTGCAAAATCAATACGTGAATGCACCCAATGCTAACTTTCACAGTATGTTGTTCTCGAAAAGACAGCCAACAGAATAAATTTGGTTTTGCCTGAAGAAGCTGTCATGAGCTGTATCAACCCAAGACTGATGGACGCACCTGATGGTATCGTTACCATAGCAGCCCAGGTCTCCAATCCCAAGGTCATCCGCCATTATCAGGACAATATTCGGCTTGTCATCTTCCGCCCTTTGGGACTGAGCCATGTTTACGAGGAACCACATCCAAGACAGGGACACCACGCACCCCCTGGAAAACAAGCACGGATTTTACCGGGAACACCCTCTTCTGAATGGTTTCAGGAGCTACATTCCATGTGACATCATCTTTGAAGACAACAGGGTCTTACAGAACACACTTTCCTGGATGGTTTGAGGAGCTACGTTCCACACCATCATCATCTTCTCTGATGAAACTGGGTTTGTCGGATACCATGCACATATCAAAAAAGAAGGGACAAAGTTTATGGATGTCCCTTTCCAAGTCCATGTCGGTCCCTGCTGTTGAATGGCGCTCACATTGGTCAAAGGCCGGCTCTCCTGGATTCTCAACCCACATAAACCAATCTGTTCCCCGACCCTTTATAAATACTCCAATACAACTACTGCTTCAAGATTGAAACTCTGCTTTGCCCAAAGTTTCCCCCAAAACTGGGAACCTCTTGAGGAGGACAGTTCTATGACCAGGGCTTGTTCTATGGACACATCATAATAATTGCAGAAATGCTTCTCATATGCCCCAAACTGATTGAGTTGCTTTTCTAGTCCTGTTTTTACAGCCCCTGGCTGAGTATCTCACTGGTTAGAGCGTCCTCTCGATATGTCAAGGTTTGGGGTTCAATACCTGGTCAGGGCATGTATGAAATTTAACTAATTAATGCATTAGTAAGTTGTTCAAGTCAATGTTTATTTTTCTCTCTCTCTCTCTTGTTCCTCTCTCTCTCTCTCAAACCAATAAATAAAAATAAAACAAAATAATGCAAGTGTATTGGAAATTGATCCTTTTTATTTGTATCACTTGCCTAAATGTCTCCTAACGTCTTTAATTGTAGATTGAACCAAACCAGGATATCCATGTAGACGTCAAGGAAGCATAATATTGATGCCTCGCTATGGGGGTGGATTCACAAATGCCACCAAATTGTTCATCAGCATCAATCCGTTGCACCGTGGTTTATCCTTCCCTTACCTGAGCGTCATCGCGGAGATCTGAGTACCTTCCTATTTTCTGTGGTCACACATACCAGGTCCTGGAAAGAAAAATATTATCTTTTTGTTGATTGAGTCAGCACTGATTGTGAAAACCTATCTCTCCCTCCTTCAACTAAAAACCGGTTTTCTGACTCTGTCATGCCATAAATCCTGGGATGTTCATTACTTTTCTATCTGGGCCCATTATCAAAGAGCTCAAGGTGTACCAAGGCCTGGCACAATCTTGCTCACTTATGGCTGAGTTCATTGGCTCAGTCCCTGACCCTAACCTCAAATGTGCCTCATGAGAGCCTAGTCCCAAAGGGCAGCAGAACCTAAGACTTCAATCTCAGCAAGTCCACGTGGAAGAAACTTGGGTCCCCTAAAATAACAAACAAAATAAGCTGATGAACAAAATTAGACTAAAGGAATCGATACCTAAAACCGACTGACTCATCGCAGAGGAAAAGGGTGTTGGCGGGACAGAAAGAGATTAAATATTTATATGCATATATATAGCCAATGAACACAGACAGTCCTTTGGTGACGACCTGGAGTGGAGTCAGGCTGGGCAGAGGGTAGAGAAGGGGGGGATTGGGGTCCATCTGCAATTGTGTCAACAACAAAAAATTCTGTCCTGTTCGAAAAGAAGAAGACAGATACCACGCGTGCAAAAATGACTAGTTGGCCCCAGTAATAGAACAATGGAGGGAAGGGAGGAAGGAAGGAAGGAAGGAAGGAAGGAAGGAAGGAAGGAAGGAAGGAAGGAAGGAAGGAAGGAAGGAAGGAAGAAGGGAGGAGGAAGGGAGGAAGGAAGAAGGGAGGGAGGAAGGGAGGAAGGAAGAAGGGAGGGAGGAAGGGAGGGAGGAAGGGAGGAAGGAAGGGAGGAAGGAAGGAAGGAAGGAAGGAAGGGAGGGAGGAAGGAAGGAAGGAAGGGAGGGAGGAAGGAGACAGGGAGCAGGAGAGGAAGGAGGGATAAGGAAGAGGGAGATAACTCACACATACATTTGTTTGGAATCAGCTTCTAAGGACAGGGCTGATTCCCTGGGTCACGGGTGTTCGAATGCGGACCCCCTCAACTCTGCCTGTTACAACAGAAAGAACCAAGAGGAGGGCCAGGAACACCTCTCCGCTTCCCTCTTCTATATTTGACTCCTGGAAGCGAGTTCCACGTCGGTTGCCAAAACGTCAGTACCTGGAATACACAGTTTGCCAGCCACACGATGGGAGATCCTGGTTGTGTCTATGAATCATCACTGTTTCTACTTGTTTCCCCTCTAACTGCCTTATAAGTTAAATTCCCAACATAAAGTCAGTGAACGCAGAGCCCCAGCTCCTGCTCAGTCGGCCCTGCAGGCTCGCTCGCTCTGCTGGTCAGCCCTCGGGGTGCCCTCAGGGTCACGGTGTGAATGTCCAGATCCCTTGAATAAGGAACCTGTGTTCCACCACCACCTCCTGATGGTTATCGCTGAAGGGCGTCTTGCCATCCTAGTAGAACCTCAAGAGCTGGTCCCAACACAAGTCTGGGAATTGATAGGCGGAGATCAGCCCAGAACACCTTCCCCGACTCACCTGTCCGTGCTGTTGTCTCCCTGCTGCTGGGAGCAAATGGAAAGGCCGTCCTGAGGGACTCGGGCTCCCCTGGAAGCCACCTGGCGTCTTACCTGAATGTCAGCCTTCCTGGAACTCGCCGTCGGCCTTGGGAAGCCCGGTCCTCAGAGACGAAGGAGCTCACCCAGTGCTTTGCATATGCAAACGAGCAAATAGCCTGCTTTGCATATGCAAACGAGCAAATAGCCGCACCTGATCTGTACATTCTTTACACATCCAGGTTAAAAAAATAAAAAAGACAATTAGCAAAATATCCACAAACGTGTTTGCCCCGACTTCGGGTATTTTTGGCAGACTGGCCAATGATTCATCGAAGGAAAGATTACACCAAGCTCCCATGAAGATAATGGATTAGATTCTCTCCTTTAGACTCTGATGACAGGATGGTCCCCAGATGGCCGAAGGGTGACCTGTGGACCTAACTGAAGATGAGAAGATATGTCCTCTCTGCAGGATTACCTGGCTGATGTTCCTCAAAACGGGTGACAGGGAAGAATCGGAGGTGGGGGGGATAAAACTATTGGTCCTCACTGTCCCCCAAATGGAAAGCTATTTAAGTAGAAATGAGGCATCATAGGTAAAGACTTGGGTATGTGAGAATCAAAACATTATCATCATTCCCACTAATAAAATGCACGAATACCCAGGGAAGCAACACAGACCCATTTCCCTGGGAGTACCTGCATCTAGTCCCATTATACTGCCCTCTGTCTCTAAAACATTGTTTTTTGAGGTAGATTGTGTGGTTCCATGAACTCCAGATCCCGGATCCGGGACCATCACACCAAAGATACAGGTACCTGCAGGTCAATAAACTTGGCAGGGAACTTTGCACTGGAATTTTACAAACACGTCAAAAGGACATCTCAAGATGGAAACCTGTTCTCCAGAAGGAGACGTGCAAAGGGTGTAAGAGTTTTAATTCTGAACAATACAATGCAAAGCAGAGGACCTACAGATGGGCAATAACACATGAAAAGATGCTCAACGTCGCTCATCTTTACAGAGAGGTGCATGGAAACCACAAGGGTGTGATTTTGAAACCTCACACCTGTCAGAATGGCTGTCAATGAGTCAACAAAAAAGTGTTGGCGAGGGTGTGGGGCAAAGGGGACACCAGTACCCTGCTGGTGGGAATGCAGCCTGGTGCAGCCACTGTGGAAAACAGTATGGAGTTACCTCAAAAAGTTGTAAATGGAACTACCTTATGACACAGCAATGCCACAATCTACTGAATAGTAGATGTCTTCTAGTGATACATCTGATAAGGGGTTAACACCCAAAATTTATATATATATATATATATATAAAACATACTACTCAGAACCAAAAGAAGAAAAAACAATCCAATGAAAAAATGAGCCAAAGACCCGAATAGACCCTTCTCCAAAGAGGACACAGAAATGGTCAGGAGAGATTTAAAAAAATGTTCAAGGTCACTTATCATCAGAGAGAGAACAATGAAGGTGGAAATTCACAGAGCTGCAGCCCGTGTGGAAAACACTCTGGAAGATAAGCGTCTTAAATACAGATTCCCATGGTTCCTCCATAACAAATTCGTTAGAAATCTAATCAGTGCATTAATGCAATAATTCTCTTCCTCCCAGATACTGAGGGTCTCTATGGATTCCATGTTTGTGTGGGTTGAGCCTTCATGGTGGGGTGTTGTCAAGATCCTTCCATAGAATCCCAGATGGTTTGCCTTGATCATGGCGGGGTCTTGAAGTTCCCTGATGTCAGTAGAACGTTTCAACAGGATTTGCTGACCTTGTATGTCCCTCCTTCTCGGGTCACCCTTCAATGCTGTCCAAGCAAAGTGTGGTGGCCACGTTCGGTCCAATTTCAGCGTTTGATGAATGCTATCTAACCAATCACATTCATTCAATGCAATAATACATTGGACACAAAGACCTTCGCGTCAGAGAAGAAAACATCAGAAGACAGGACGCCATGAATAGAAGCAAGGGTTTGCCCAGATGGGAGTGATGTTTTGCGAGTTGCATAAACCGCTTACAAACCGACTGATATTTGAAATGCATGGTCCTCACGCTGGGTGGTGGTTGGGGACGTGAGGGAAAAACCTGATTCTACCTCAACAGTTCAGATTTGGCTCTTGGCTCCTGTCCCTGAAAGACACAGATGAATCTGAGATACCAACCTAAAATATGGTTTTCTGGCTTTTCAGTAGGACATTAAGGACCTGAAAACATTTATGACCATGTGGCATATGGTGGCTCTGCCAAAGACTGAGTCTGATACAGTGTTCGCCTTATCCAAGTTGGCATTTCTGTGAAAGTGTAGATTCTGTCTGGGAAACAGGGTGTTACCTCTACTAAGAGGTGGAGTTAGATTGTAATCAATGGCCCCGTCAGCACGCAGGGATAATTATTGACACAACACTCAGCGACTCTCCCCAGTCACATTCTCTGATAATTTCAGGTGCCCCCGTAAAAGATGCCTTCATTCTCCACAATTTTCAGATGCGAGCAAGGCAGATAACAGATAATTTTTTAGGCCACCTAAGTTTATGACAGCACAAGAGCTGATGTGAAGATACTTTCCACCTTAACAAAAGAGATGCACCAACCCTTCTCTACCTGACTGATTTACCAAACATTGTCTATCGATATCCAGTTCCAGCCAAGTCATAACACAGACCATTGCCCAGTGAGCAACATGCTAGAAGAGTCTTTACAGAAAATGTTCACATATCCAACGAATATCTGGGAACTGTCTTTTTCACCTTGGAAGCCAAAGTCATTTATGAAATGCATTCTTATCAAACGTCGATGAAGCGACCGATACCAGGTGGACATCCAAGTCGCAAATCTAAAGTACAGTCACACCTTCCCCCACAGAGAGTCTCTGCTCCATCACAGGAGACAGATGAGACATAAGTAAGTGCAAGGATGACAAAGGGAACATTGAATGTACCCAGGAGCCCCATGAACATACAGATGAGAACTTGACCAAGTTCTGCCTGGGACAACCAGGTGGAATGTTAGACAAGGTGACTCTTGGAGAAAAGTTGAGATAAGGTGCATTTAAGGCAGGTGAGAAGAAGAAGGTGAGTGAAGGAGAGATATAGAAGAAAAGGGGTGATGTTCACTTAGGGAGAAAAGCTGGGATCATAGGACCCAGGAATCTTGAACAGCCTTCTGAAGAACTTGGTTTTTGCTCACAACACAGGAAGGCTATTCTGGGACATACACCTGGTGATGAAGATGCCCTGGCTTGTGTTTGAGATGAATAAGTTTAGGGAAAATAGAGCACAGATGGAAAAAGCAGTGTGAGAATATAAATGGGGTGTGGTGTGAGCCCAGGGGCCAGGTATTCTTGGTTGCAAAACCACAGCATGCACCTGCAAGAAACCCAAGAAGATGTTGAGCAATGATGTA